GACTAAAGAAAATCAAGGGATATGGGGGCAAGAAATTGCCTAGATTTTCCAATAGGGACCTGAGTTCCTGAAAGCATAGTGCTGGGGAGAGGTACTACCTTATCATTCTCATCCTTGATTTTCTTTTTTTAGAAATTCATAAAGAGTTAAAAATCCTAGAGTTAAAAAGAGATTGTGATTTCTACTTTCTGAATTTAGGAGACCAAAGTTCAAATCTGAGCTTTGAATGTTCTCCATTGTGTAGTATTGGAAAAATGATTTTTCCTCAGAAATGTGGATTCTAAAGGTGACTTATGAGTCACAAAACCAATACAGGGGTCAGAATGGGACTTAAAGTCTTTCTGACTCAGAATCCCATACTCACATGGATTTAGGTGGGGAGCATTCAGCTCTGCTAAAAGCATGGGTATAGATTAGAAAATGTACAATAAAACTCTACACCATTCAGCTTGTCTCTGTTACCTTATGGCACTTCTCTCAACACAAAGCTTTTTGTTATTAAGTGGTGAGGGGCTCCGGATTCTGAAAGAATAACTGGGGAATAATTGTGTACAAGTTACTTTTTTGAACCTCTGAAAGAAGGAATCTAACTGACCTCGTATCATCAAAGAGACCACTGGATGAACATGACTTGGCCTCAATGCTGAATACTTTCTGGGCCTTGTTAGCTTAAATTTTATTACAAAATAATGGTACCAATCCCATTTTACAGAACAGGAGACTGAGCTCTGGAAATTTCAGATTTTTCCCACTCACACAGCGAAAAATTTACGAGGAAACTTAAGAGTCTGACTCCAGAACCTATTTTATGAATCTCTATGGTACTTTAAAGAGATCAGACACTTCTGGTCAGAAAATAGGTACTTTATCAAAAGACATCAGCTCTGGGATGGTGAGAGAATTCAAAGGGCTGGAGCATATGCTTTGCGTGCAGGAATCCTGGATTCAATCCCCAGCCTTGTGTGGTCTCCTGAGTACTGCCAGGTTTGACCTCAAAAATTGGAAAAAAGAGAGATGCTCATTTCAACCTTTCTTCCAATTCAAGCCCCTGCTTTGGTGTTCTTGCCTACTGTTCTTCCCACGACCAGGCTTTTTTTGGAGTATGGAGACCCTGGGGGGGGGGGGAACACTGTGCTTTTCCTATGTCTCTTCTCCACATTAGTCAAAGTCAAAAGAAAGATCTACTTTCTCTGTGTAGTCAACAGTTTGTAATGGAGCAACTGAGTTAATCCTAACCAACAAGCATACCACCTGCAGTGCAAGTATGTGGCTTTGTTTTTATTGCTGATGGCATAGCCTTGTGCCACTTAAAAACAGTTCAGCCAATGACAGATTGCATGTATGAAGATGGTCCCAAAAGGTCATAAACCACAACCTAGGTGTAGAGTAAGCTATACTGCTTGGAGTGTAGCTTTCTCACAACTAAGTCACTGAAAAAAACATTTCTCTAAACACAATCATCTGTAAATGATGTGCAATGGTATCCCTTACTTCTTCTAGAAACAATCCCCAATTTTCTTTTGAGGGACCCATCATATCCCAATGGGGACAAATCCATGCGGGTTCCGGGGCCGATATCTCCAAGCCTACTCGGATTGGAGTCGAGCATCCTCCACCCAGATCCTCCAAATTCCAGTAGGCGGGGGTCACACCCACCACCTGGCCCCCTGGTGCCGTGTAATCCCATCAACGGCCAAGACTCAGAGACTATAAAATCCAGCTCCTGGAACCGTGCGGCCGCATTCGCGGCCGCGCGACATCTTATCAAGACATCTTTTTATGACATCTTATTATCTCATTCCTACTTTGGACAAACTTGCAGGCTATCGAATGTAGCCTGCCCACAGGGCAGAGTCTGGCAAACTCCCTGTGGCGTACCAAATATGCCAAATACCAGTAACAATGATGGGTCTCATTCTCCTAAAGAGCCTTGAATATAATCTCAGGGCTAGGATGAAAGAGACGTTACTGGGGCCTGCTCGAGGCAATCGACGAATAACAGGATGATGAAATGAAATGAAATGAAATCATATCCCAACTACCTGTTCATATAGTTTATCCAAAGTTAAAGCCAGGAATTAGGTACTCACTCACAGAGTCCAATTACTGAACCCCATGATGTTTGTTAAGCCTCAAACTTTTCTTTTTTCTGTTGGGCTGGCCAATCTGAGTGAATATCAATCTCTGGCTACAAGTACTCATCTATTATCTTACTGAGGAGAGCATGGATGATAAGTTCAGGTGAAAAGAAAGGAGGTAGTCACCTGATGGCATTGTTTGGACCTTGAATCCAGCCTTATCTGAGTCAGATAACTCAAGACACATTTAGTTTTCTCTGAAATAATTCTGAGTTGGCTTTATATCCATTGAAAAGAAAAGATTCTAAATACCCAAACTCTTTAATAGTTCATTCTTTGGATGCATCTGCTTTGTGCTTTACTACAACCAACCTAGACTAACCCCTGTTCCCCTGCCATATCCATAAGAATGGTAACAAATTACTTCTCCAGGACTGAAAACTTAAAGGAGAATCAAGATAACATCGTGTCTGAGTGTATTCACTGGAAATAGCTTCTGAGATTGTGGTACTCACTGCATTTCTGGTCTAATGAGTAAAGTTGGTATATAACATCAGGTTCTTGCAATGGTTCAGCAGTATGCTGAGTGGCATTGGCAAAAATCTTTCACCTAAGTCTCAGCATTCTCTTATAAATTTGATCACTTCACTTGATCACTTGCTATCCCCCCATTACTCATCTATTTGCTCAAGTGGGCACCAGTAACGTCTCCATTTGTCCCTGTCATGTGCTAGTGTAGTCCAATGCTGTCTGCTCATTACAGGAACACGAAGAGCCTCAAACCATATGTCCAGGGTCTTAACGAAGAAGTCTGACCATCTTGTAGGTGGGCGGCCACGAGTTCTCTTAATGTCACGTGGAATCCAGTCAGTAGCAGCTCCAGTCCAGTGGTCGTCTTCAAATCACATTACGTGTCCATTCCATCTGATTTTCGATGTCTTGGCAAACAAGACAGCGTCCCTGATTCTCGATCATCAACGGAGGTTGGAACTCTGTATTCCTTCTCTCACTTGAGTGAAGCATGATACTCCAAGCATAGCTCTTTCAATTATTCTTCGGGTGACCCAAATAGAATTCTTATCCTGTTTTCATAGTACCCAGGTCTCTGAGGTGTATGTTAGTGCAGGGAGAATGGTGGAGTCGAAGAGATGTGCCCGAAGCTGTAGGCTCTTCGTCCTCTTGCCTATTTCTTCGACAGTCTTGAAGGCTTTCCACGCTGTTCTCTTCCCCCTGTGCAGCTCACGTGCCAGGTCATTTGTTATGTTGAGTTCTCGACCTAGGTACACATAGCTGCTGTATTCGGAGATGTTCATTCCGTTGAGAGCAAATGGAATGTCAGGAACTAGTCCATTTTTCATAAACATTATCTTTGTTAGATTCAGCCGTAGTCCAACCTTTCCACACTCACCGTCGAAGTCGGCCAGCATTTGTGCCGCTTGGCTGATGTTTGGTGTTATAAGAATGATGTCATCAGCGAAGTGGAGGTGGTGTAGTTGCCAATTGTCTATCTTCACTCCCATGCCTTCCCATTCCAGTCGTCGCATGACATTCTCAAGGGTGGCACTGAAGAGTTTCGGTGAAATGATATCACCCTGCCGAACCCCTCTCTTGATGTCAATGATCACCTCCCTGTAGAATGGTGAGATCCTGGTAGTGTATCCGCAATACAGCTCACGGAGGATCCTGATGTATTGACTGTGAATGCCCTGTTTGGCTAGGGCCTCATGACTACTTCTGTCTCAACAGAATCAAAGGCTTTCTTTAAATCGATGAACATTAGAGTGGCGTCTTGAACTCCCGAGAAACCTCAATGAGCTTGGTTATCGTGTGGATATGGTAGATTGTGCTAAATCCTTTTCGAAAACTGGCTTACTCACATGGTTGTCCTTCGTCGAGTGTTCTGCCAATCCTATTCAGGATGACTGAGTGAACAAAGCAGTGCAGAGAAGCGATAAAGGAATACCTCAAAGAGAGAAGAGCATCAGTGCTGACCGATGCAGCAGAAGCCGGGAAAAGCATTCATAATGCCCGCCTGTCCTTTGGCAACTACAAGACCAAGATGACTGCCCTTTAACGTCCTGATGGATCTATCACATCTTCCAGAAGGCAATGGAGAAGATTATCCCTGACTTCTACTCAGATCTCTTCAGTAGCCACGTCCACCTGCCCACATACCAAATTCTGCAGGTTGGATATGTCGTTCCCAACTTCCTCCCATCTGAAATCCGACACGCCATTTCGTCAGTAAAGAAGTGAACAGCACCCAGTCCAGAGAAGGTAAGAACCGAACACTGGAAGAATCTGCCATCAGTACTCGTCAATATGCTGGCTCGGCTCTTCACACGCTACCTGTCTGAATGCAAGATTCTGTCCCAGTGGAAAACCAGCAGGACTGTTCTACTATCACTACTGTCACAAGAAGGGCGACATCCACAACACTGGCAACTATCGCCCAATCTGCCTGTTATCAGTCGTCTACAAACTGTTCACTCTTATAAACTAGAGGAAATAATAATAACAGACAAGAATCTGGGTGTAAGAGTGAAGGGGCTACCCTCATTTCTGGAAGAAGGCACTTTGCTCCACTCCTTTTCCTTTTCTATTTCTCGTAACTCTGTCTTCTATTCACACAGGAAACTGTACTCACTGGACAAGTGAACGAGTGAAGTCAATTTATCCAGAAAGACAGGTCAAGTCTGATTAGAAACACAACGGATGGCTGTTGGACTAATAGATTCCATGCAACAGAAGGAACTGCATCATCCCCTATCTCAAGGGCTCTTGTATGAATCAAGATAAATCTGGGGTAAATCACTTGCAAAGTGTAAATCACTCTACAGTTGTGCTTCAGTAGAACTAGGTAACTATGGGTATAAGCTTTCTATAGATCAGCAGGGATTATAAATCTTCTTCTTTTTGAACCAGGGGAGATACTAATGGAGTCCCCCACTACAACACATTATGCAGTTGAGTTTCCCACATTTGGGGAAATCACAGGGGTCAGCAGATCCAGAGTGCAATGGATAAGCCTCACCCTGAGAAAACTACCTTCGTGACCATGGTATCTCCCCTGCCAGGTAAGCATGGTTATGAATTCTTCTTAAAATTGGAGGAATCTCTGAGCATACACTCTCCATGTCCCTCCCAAGAGTGATAAAACACACACAAAAGAAACCATGGAGCTCCTTGTAGGGGATAGAAATTACACTAACCATCTAATTAATCTTTTCTCGTGGTAATTCACCATTCCAAGAAGATGTAGTAAATTCATATTACCTTAATTGAGGAAGTGGGGGTTGAAATTAAAGAAATGGTCCCCAGAAACTCAGATTGTGGAAGAGGAAGCCTATACACAAGTTGAAACGGAGGAAGTTCAGGGGACTGAATGAGGCTCTATGGAAGCAGCATTGTCAACCCTTGCCCACATTCCTTAGAGTCACTGACCAGGTGCACCTATGGGGGCTGCTGGGAGTTGGTGAACAATTACCCTGGTTCCTTCCAGCCCTTGTTCCTTTCATCCCTTGGGAACCAACTTCTATATCAGCTCAACCCCCATGAGATTGAGAACCCACAGCGGTAACTCTCCATATTATCTTTTTTCTTTTCTTTCTCTCCTTTCCCCAACCCTTCTAGAGCATTTTACTGAAATCCCTTGCCAAATACTAGATTTGCAGTCTTTTTCTAAGTATCAGCTTCAGGCAGAACCCAGACTAGGACGCCACTTGTAGCAAGAAGCATGTGCCAGCTTTACATGTGAAAGACTGAGATTCGGTCATGAGTGTTTCCCTAAACACACACACACACACACACACACACACACAAACACCCTCCCCATTGGAATCTAGGATCCATACAAGTTTATGTACCAGCATACAACCCAGCGACACTTGGGGACAGTTCCCATGGGATTACCTTCCCAGGGATTCTCCACACCTACTCTAATGTTGTTAAACACTGCTCTTCTCTCTCCCACAGATGAAACACCAGGTAGCAATAAGTGGTGAATAATTCACATCGCTCATCTTTATTAATAGGCATTGAGGCCCATTGAGTTCCAAGTGCTGAACCATGCCATGCAATAAATATTAACTCAGGACAATGACACGGATCATTACCTCAGATGCTTGGTGTGGAAATGGAGGCAGATACCTATCCTCTGCTGAATAGAGCCACTGAAGGGAAGGAAGAAAGGGCTTAAAAAGAACAAGTAAGAGTGCCAGAGTAATGTTCCCAAGCTCTTCCAGAGGTATCATTCACCCTTGCCCCTCTCTAACCCTCATCTGACCCTCGAGTCATTCTTGATCAGCCTGGTCTCTATCCAGGAGTCCCTGGAATAATCTGCTGCTGTGGCAGGCAGCCAAGATGCCCAGTGATTTCTGCATTCTGGATTGCATGCTGTGTAGCAGACCCAACTCCCTGTCTCACTTCTGACAGAGGATGGAATGTCACCTCTGAGGGGAAGTCATGAAGTCCTCTTTTTCCCTTTGCTTACTCACTCTAAGGAAATGGGAGCTGTATCTCTCCGGAGACATACAGATGGCGAGAAACTGAGGCACTCACTGGCAATAACCAAGAAAAAAAACCAACGTCCTTGGTCCAACGACCTGTGTGGGACCAAATCCAACCAACAATTCAGGACTGAATCTGAAACAGGACCTTGTTCCCAGAGCCTATGACAACTTTGTCAACTCATTCCAGATCGCAATCCCTCACCTGGTCTAGGATCTCTTCTCTCTGACTCATCTTTTTATTCCTCAAGATCCTCAACAGCTTCAGCCTCAATCCTCATGCCTCAAGACTCCCCACCCCTACTGCTTCACCTAAGTGTTACACTTTCTCCATTCTCAGAACTTGTATCTGGAGGATTCAATTCTCTGCTTAAGTTTTCCACTGGGTGTGGCTTTAACCAACATAAATCCATATTAGATGTTCTATTAGGCTTCCCCAAACCATACACATCTCTTCACAGTATCTTTCCCAAAGCTTGCTTAATTTGGGGTTCCTTTATTAATTAATTTTTAAGCAAAGTAAATGGTTTTATTTAGGAAATATGAGCGAGAGGGCATAGAGTTTTAGGAAGTCAAGGAAGAGAAGTTTCGTTCCCTGGGTTGGAATGTCAATGACATTAAATGGAGTGTCTTCTGGATTAATTTTTACCACTGAAAACCCTGCAGTCTGTGAGGGGAGAAAGCCTGGGTGCCTTGCTCAGTATATCAGTTTATCCATCACTTACCCAGTGCTCAGTTCCTGCACTAAAGAGACACTCGATCAATGAGGGAGCAAACTTGTGCTATTTGTATTTCAAAAATAAGAAAGCTCAAAAAGGTGAAGGGAAATTACTCAAGGTCATATAGTTAACAAATGGTAAAGCCAGGATCCAAAACCGGCAGTGCAAAGGGTTAATGTCCCTCTGCAACTTTGAAGACCGCAGGCTTGAACTTTTCTCTTTTCTCTCCTTAAGCTTGCTGGAAGGACTAACCTTAAACTCCACTTTCACAAAATGCCCAAACTGGAAGAATCTATAAATGTATTTGCCCCTGGGGCCTCCCAAATCCTGCTAAGGTGGCCTGAGTAACTTCCAGCACCACATCCTCAGGTCCTCTCAGTTACTCCCAGTTGGCCACGGGTTACAGGTAGTGCCCCTCAGTCCTCCTGAGTACTGGGGGACTTCAACCAGACAGGTGCTGTGTTCAGTTTGGTTTTATAAAAGAGCTGTGGCCAGGGGTGACAGATAGGGACCACTTCTTCCCAGAAGGAAAGCAGGACACCTGTTTGTGCAAGGAGATAGAGCCCAAGGGACACAGTTACACTGACATTGCTGCCTCTCAAGGCATTTTACCCAGCAGGGTCTGACTTCCTTTCTGGGAATGATGGAAGTGAGAAGTGGACAGGAGAAGTAGGAGGGGTGGTATTTGTTAAAGAATAGGGAGTAATTCAGAACCCATCCAGGGGAGGGGACAGGTATCTCACACCTTGGAGATGAAACCTTCCTGGAATAACCCCTTGAAGCCACAGCTTTGTCCTTGTAAGGTGCTCTCTATTGTTCCAGAGAAGCTTTCCAAAGGGTGGGGTGTTCTGAAATGACCAAGAGCCAGAGGCCACTAGGACAATGGATACCCCGCACCCCTGAGGGCAGTAAGTGTGTGACACACACAAGGGCAAATGTGCCCCTGTCCAGGTACCTCGCACGCTCCTACTATCGGGATCTTGGCTGCAGCTACTGCTAAGGTTTCCTGTCCCCGCAGGCCTTTGCTGACCATGCTCAGTGTGTTACCATCTTGGTGCAAACTTTAATTATCTACAGGACAGCTAAAAAGCTCTCAATCTCCACTTGTCAGTGAGGAACTTGGATGCCCATTGGAGCTGATTCTAATCAAGGAACCAAAATCACAGAGCCGGACCGTTTCAAAACCACATATCCCACTTCTCATAGGGCTCGACCCCTTCAGTTCAGTGTTCCTTGAATGAAAGATCCCACTCTCCCCTGTGGAGTCTGTGCCGCCAGAAGTGTCTACAGTGTCTGAGAAGCTAACCAGGTAGGCTTGGATAATACGCATGAGTGAGCATGCTCGTGCATAAAATTACTTGTCATCAGCATTTTCACCACCAGAGGTAACATTGCTAACATTTTGCTGGAGATCATCCCAGGCTGACATAGTGATATGCATATTGTTTGTATATAGAGTAGGTCTGTGTAGGTGTATGTTTGTTTTTAGAAAAGAGCACAGGACACGTGTTCTTCTGTGACTGATTTTTTTTTTTGCATTTAACAGAATGATACAATACTTTCTCAGTAAATAAAAATAGCTACAGACAAAATCAAAGCAGAAGAATTGTTAAAAATTCAAGTGAGAAAATAGAAGAGAGAGAATACTGGTCATCTCAGATATTTATTTAACAAACATTTACCGAGGGCAGACTATATTCTAGGGAGGTTGGACATGGGAGAGAAATATTTCCAGAGCTTCTGCCACTCATCTTAAAGTCCCATGTGAGATTCAAATTCTTTTAACTCCACAGTGACACGTGGCATACATTGAAGGTATAGCATGCTCCACATGACTAACAGGAGGAAGAGACTTTGCTCAGCTGTGAAGAAAGTATTTGAGAATAGTATTTTAATGTTGGCACTTGGACATCCTGAGGCTTGCTAACACTATGACTGAACTGTCCTTCCCAGGGTTAGAGTTTGCAAACAGCTGACCCGGAAGCAAGCCCTTCAGGTGCAAACCAGCCACTCTAAAGCCCAACCACCTCCACTATGAACATTCATGTACAAGCCAATATCCCCCTGCCCAAATCACACAGGATCAGGTACTAGACTACTAGGGATAGTTGTCGACTTAAAGTCCCTAAAAATTATTAAAATGACTCACCTGAAACCCACTCAGCCTGCATTTCCTTCCTCTCCATTCTTCTGAAAAAAGCTACAGTAAGGACAATGTTCTCCCTATCTCACAGTTCTCTCTGTCTACTTCCCTGTTGCTTTCCATCACTCCACCCAGAATTAATCTCTCTCCCTCTTTCTGTCACTTTCTCTCTCTCTCTCTCTCTCTCTCTCTCTCACACACACACACACACACACACAGTGTGATTTCTGCCTCCACGGATCGTTGTGTACAAACACCCTATTCTTCATAAAAATCACTTCTGTGTCTTACCAGACCTGATTAAATCAAACCCTGGGTGCTGACAAAGCAGGAGGGGTCTCTCAAGTGAGCATGTGCAAGATAAGGGCATGCTGTAAGATGGCAGAGTTCTGGAGATCCATGGCACTGAACTTACGCTCCCAGGTAAACACAGGAAATGGTTCCCCAGGTGGGATACAAGGAAAGGGCAGCAGTGGCTGGTTTCATGGAACTCACTGAAGTGATGTATGTGATCAATGTCATGTCAGGAAATGCAGGGGGTTAAAGGAACAGGAGCCAGGGGGCCTGATTCAGACTACAAAGAATAAAAGTGAAAGTTTCCCAGACCAAATGGTACTGCATTTAGTTCTGTTTGTTTGGGTACCACACCCACCTATGCTCAGAGATCACTCCAGGGGCTGCTCAGGGTATCATATGTGGTGTCAGGGATCTAATA